GGGAGCTGATGTGGATGTGCCCCAGCCTGGGATGGTGGTGTCTGCAACAAAAATTAGCATTTTGCATTTGGCATTTTGCATTTAGCATTTAGCACTCGGTGCCATTCCTGCAGGCCCTTCGGTGCCCCTTGGCCTGATGGTCCAGCCTTGCATGGGCTGCGGGATGAGCGGGATCGGCATCCCGGCTCCAACCCAGCTGCATCGGAGCACCAAGGAAAGATTCATTGGAGGCCACGCGGCAGAGACGCAAAAGCAAAATTCAGCTGCTCCAAAAGGGAAAAAAAAAGAGCAAAAAGTGGATTTCACACCCGGTGCCAGCCCAGGATGTCACCGCTGTCCCCTGTGTGCCTCGGAGAGCTGGGGATCATTAACTGCTGTCTCAATGTGCTCCCTTCACCAGGGCCCTGTATAAACACACTGCGGGCCGGCTGCTTTTTCCGCCCTCCGGCATTCCCAAGGGAGCGGTGTCTCCTCTCCAGCCCCGCGGCGGCTCTCCCTGCTCCGACCTGGGATCCGGAGCCGCGATGCCGGGGGAATCGCCAGCCCCATTGCAGCGGATGGAGCTTCCCGAGCACATCGTGGGCAAACTGGAGCTTCTGAAAGGAAGGAGAGGGTTTTTGAGGGGACGTTCATTTCCCTTAAGAGCAGCAAACTCAAAATTTCCAGAATTTCTACATCTCCAAATTAAATGTAAAAGAAGAGTTTATATGTTAAGAGAGGATATTTTCTAGCTTTGATCAAATCCGCATCTGTTTCCGTGCTTGATCTTGCAGCAGGTCTTGGTGTCCCAAAGACACGGAGATTTCTGTACATGGAGCCTGGTCATGGTGTCCTAACCCTAGGCAGGGTATTAAGTGTCCATGCAGGTGGCGGAGTCAAAGGGACGTTTCTTGGGTGCAATTTGCCTCCTCTTGACATGGACATTTTAAATGTCCCCCAGGCACCTCGGGGGGCCTTGCACCTCCATCCATGCAGCTCCCAACAGGCTCCCGCTCCTCCTGGATGCAAAAGTCCCAGCTCAGCGATGCTGCTGCTTCCTCCATTGGCTCTTGGTCCCTGGGGACACCCTTGCTTGCATCCAGGGGCGCTTGTCCCCAACCTGCAGTGCACAGAACCGCCTGGGGAAATGCAGGTGTCCTAGAAGGTGGAATCAGCTGGATGAGCTGGGGAAGGTGGTCAGAGACGTGGTCCTTTGTGGCCAAGACTCCTTGGCGGTCCCGTGTCCCCTGTCCATAACAGTTGGTGCTCACAAAGCCCCATCTCCCAAACCGCTTCCCCAGGGGTGTTACCAGCCCGGGAACCCCTTGGCCAGGACACCAAAGGTCTTGGCGCGGAGGAGGAGCCGTTTTCCCCTTTCCTGGGGCTGCGGAACAGCGCTTGGCACATGACGGAGATCTCGGCGTCCTCAGGGCTCCAGGTTGGGAGCGCGTCCCGGCCGCAGGCGCGTTCCCGTGGGCATTGCTGCAGCAGCCGGCGTTCCTCCCCGCCGAGGTTTACGTGGCCCCCGGATTTCCATAGTAACCCAGCACCTCCACTCCCCAATATATTTTAATGAACTATGACATATTCCTATCCGCGTGCCTCCTTATATAGTCCTCTGGGACACTGTGGATTTTATCCCGACATCCTCCTTTTGATGGCTGGAGCCTTTCCAGCAAAGAGGAATTCTCTTGGAAAATGCCGTCCCCCGGCGCTCCAAGCACTTTGTTTTGTGTCTTCGTTATCTCAGGTTCAGCGAACTCCACCGGCTCCAAGGCTCCTCTCCAGATCGGGATCCATGGGCATCGTGCTGGAATGTCCAGGAGCCCCTGCTCCTCCCCGGGGACAACATTCCCCAATTCCCCACCACAAGCGGGTCCATGGAGAGAGTTTTGGAGCAGAATTTCTCCCAACATCTCAGGTTCCTTCAAGGCCACCTCCATCCCCTGCCCATGGCTGCAGAAGAGGCAATGCAGCCCACAGGACCCGGATCCCTCCGAGCCTTTCCCACTTGTGCCATGTACATGCTCAATGGGACTGCCAAGCTATCCCAGTGCCCGGCTCTGCATTTCCCGTAGCCCCCGGGCAGGTGGAGAGCCCCGAGATGCTGCAGAAAGCCCCATGGACAAGTCCTGCTCTCTGCCCGGAGGGCTGGGAACCGCTGCCAAAAACGTCTGGAAAATACGTCCGGGTTTTGCAACCATCAGCGCTTTTATTTCCCTGCCAGAAGTCTTTCTATCACCCTCAGCTCTGCTGCTCGGGCAGGAGGCACAGCAAGAGCTGCGGTTATTTTTGGCTATTTTTACCCTGTCCTTCCGCTGTTAGAGGCTCCATGCTCCAGGATCGTGTCCCACGTGCCAGGCTCCTGCGCACTGGGATACAACACTGGGACCCAGATGGGAAAGGGCCAGAAGATCCTGAGCCCCATGGAGGGATCTCTGGGTTGGGACCGTGATGTTTCACTGCCCTCTAAAGGGGGGATCAAAGGGAAAATCCTCCCCAGCAGGATTTTCCCTGGGGAATTCCAGGTCTGCAGCCAGATGCACATGTGCGTGGCTGCAGGATGCATATATCCACACATTCCCGCATTCTCCTGGAATTGCAGGTACCACTAGAGAGGCCAAAGTGCCAAGTGCTCCAGCTCTCCCAGCATCCAGGGGCTGCCCCCAAAAGCAGAGCCCCTGCAAAACAATCCTTGAAGCCACATGGGAAAACAGGGATACACTCGGTGCCTTGGCAAGAGCTCTAGGAGGGCTGGAAAACAACTGTGGTCACAGCTTGTCCCTACCCCAAACTCAGCAATGGCTGCTTTATAGCCCTTAAAACCATCTCGATGCTTTCAGGAAGGCTCCTTCACCACCGGCATCTGAGGACGTGCTGGGAACGGCCTCTGTGTTCGGTGACAAATTTTGTCCCAGGCTAAAAATACGCTCTGCTTCTTGCATCTGCGGTAAGAAAACCTCCGCTGCCAGATGCATCACTCGCCCTTCCTGGGACATGGGAGCAGGGTATGGGATGCTGAGGCATCCGTGGTGGATGTGACATCTTCAGGACATGACTCCGTGTTCCCTGTGCTCTCCATCACTGTGTTGCATGTGGCAGATGTGACATTGCCCAGGGTTTTCCATGTGCCAGGGCAGCTGGAAGGATGAGTCGGCCTTGGAAATGTTGGTGAAACCCTCTGGATTGAGCATCTAAAATGTTGGACATGGCCACCTAAGAACAAGACGAGGGAGCTGAAAGCAGCACAAGAACAAAACGGAGCTCAGCAAGTGCCCCTGTTCATGCAGGGTGCCCTCAAGCCGTTAAAAACAGCAGGTTGTCTTGGAATAAAGGAACATTTCACAGCTAATGCAGGTTTTGGGGGCTCTGGGGCTGCACTGCTCAGCTAATCTACATTGCAAGCTCATTGCCGTGCTGTTCTTTTTTTGTTTTTTGTTTTTTTTCAGTGCAAGTTGTTATCTCCATATGACTCCTGGAGATGGGGCTGGAGATGGAAAACAGTAAGCAGCAGAAACCTGCTGCTGGGTGATGGGTGACCATAGGGAGGTGGATGACCAGAGAGACATCATGAGGAGCTGGGTGACCAGAGGGAGACCACAGGGAGCTGGGTGACCAGAGGGACATCATGGGCAGCCCTTGGGCAGATGCTCGCCTTTTCATCCTGCAGGATCACTCTGCGTACCTCAAAACATCTTCAGGATCAGAATCTGGACCTCTAAAGGTGACCTCCGTGATCTGCTGATTTCCACCCCAAACCTCAAGCCTCCGTTTCCAAGTGTTTTATTCAGGGGCCCATTCCCTGAATGGACACACTACCAATATAGGAACCTCTCTGGGACCCATCAGGAGCCATTGCAGGGTCAACACGCAAAGCTTTCCAGGAAGGTAAAATAAATGTGGTGAAAACGGTGCCATTAATGAATTTTCTCTTAGGGTTCAAGGAAATGGATGTCTCCTGGCGCCTGATCTTTGCACTGCTGGTGCAAAGTGCCTTTCTGCCTTATGCTTGTTTTCCCCATGAGTGATATCCTTGGAGCCTGGCCAGGAACACGTCCTAAAAAGCACGCACGACTTTTTGTCTCGCTGCAAGTCACTGAGAATAGGAGCTGAAAGTGATTTTAGAAATGAACTAAAAAACACGAGAACCTTCCTGGGTGCGCTAAATCCAGGCTTTTGAAGTCCCGCAGTGGTCCCCATTAGCTCACTCTAATTGGGTGAAATGTGCTCGCTGGGGGAACGATGAGGAGATAAGTTTAAAAGGGTTATTTAACTTCAGATGTTAGGGAGTGGGGGAAAAAAAATCAATAAAAAGCTACTAAAAACATCTCTCGCTTTCCAAAATAGCTACTCTAAAGAGCCCCTCATTGCTTGGGCGGTTTTGCATTTCAAATCAGGTGCTGCGTGCATAAATCCATCACAGGCCTTGGAAGAGGCTGATTGTGAACAAGATAAATGGGAAACAGCTTGGGGAGCTGCAGGCTGTGACAGGGCGAGTGCACAGGAAAGAGCGCAGCAGGTTCCCGTTCCCGGCGGTGCAGTGGGATGTGTGTTGGGTGCCCCATTTTGCCGTCCCTCCCAGCAGTTCCAGTGCAAGAGGAGGCATTGGAGGGTTGCACCTCCACCTGTTTGGTGCAAGCTCTGTACCAGCCCATGCATGCACGTGTAGGCAGGATTTTGCACCCAACTTGAGCAGGAGGTTTGTCCATGGCCTTGCAGGCTGTCCTGGCGCCACCAGCCAGCCCAGAGCACAGTGCAAGCATGGGTTGACCTGATGGCTCTTCCTCCCAGCCCCTCGCTGCTTGCAGATTATTGGCCACATCATTCCTGCCTTGGTCTCTTTATCCACCCCATAAGGCTGCTTGCAGGAAAGCTGCATCCTCAGCACTAAATAGTCCTACACAGTGTCTTCGCTCTTGTGGTTTTGTGCTTTATTTTCCCATTTATTTTCCTATTGTGGCTGCCTCCTTGGGGAAACCGGCGGCTCCCAGGGTGGTGTGGGGTGATGCCGGTGCCGGCTCTCATGCTCTGTACTCGAAAAAGCTGTCCCGGATTTCCCTCTCCTTGGCGGTGACCCTCTTCCCAGAGGGGAAGGTCTGGTAGGTGCGCAGGTTCTCTGGGGACACGCGGAATAGGTGCCACCGGGTCTTCCAGCTCAGCGGTGGCCTGGGGAGGAAGAGAGCAAGGAAACACAGTTACAGAGTAGATGGAAATGGAGAAACCCATCCCCTTTCTTCAGCCCTTGCCAGACCCCATCTGCAGGGCTCTATCCCATTTGGGGCTTCCTGGTGCGAGATGGACATGGATATATTGGAGAAAGTCCACTGAAGACAACAAAGATGAGTTGGAGCACGATGGCCAAGGAGATCTAGGCTTGTCCAGCCCAGAAAAGAAGGCAAAGAGGGTTTTATTACTGCTGCCAGCTACCTAAAGAGAAGGTAGGAACCCAAGGATGCAGAGATGCAGGAGTTGGGTAGGGGAATATCAAGAGGATGGTGACGGACTCTGCTGAGAAGTGCATGGTGACAGGATGAGAGGCCATGACCCAACCAACAACCAACCTAGAAGACCCCATTGTCCAAACACGCTTGCTGGGAAAGCACAGGGGAGAGGGACATGAGCATCTGTCCATCTGTGCTCGTGGACAAGCAGCTCGTGGTCCTCGCTCTGCTCGCGGCCGCGCGCTGCTGAGCGCGGTCCAGCTGCTCAGGGGGCTCCCCAGCCCCTTGATGGTGAGCGAAGGGCTGTTTCTGGGTGTAAATACTTCATTTTTCTCCCTGTTGAGCTGGGTGAATGTGGCACTAGAGGGCACCCATGCATTTCTGCTGATGCGCAGCTGCCTCCCAGCGGCTGCAGCTCCGTGCAAAACCCAGGGCCAGGGCAGGCTCTGGACAAGTTTAATGAAGATGCCCACACTCCAACATCGGGCTGAGCTCCTTCCCATCCCCAGCACTTCCCCTTTCCTTTCACCCCTGCTGAAAACCTCAATTCCTTTCTCCGGTCGTCACCAAGGCACCCGCTGTGCTTGCAGCACTGGAAAGCAGCATCCAAACATTTAAACCCCATTTCAGTGGCACTGCATTTTCCTTCCTTGCCTTCAGCGTTCTCAAGTCATCCATGCAGATCTGGGGAGCTCCAGAGCGTTTCCATGCACCACCAGCACACTGCCACAGCCCCTGCACTGATGCCCAAGTTGCAATGTTCCCACCTGTCCCAGCCTATATGCACAGGGCCTTATGGTGCAACCAGGTACAGGCTGCCTGCGCTACACTGGTTTTGCCCCAATACCTGCACTGGATTTGCCCAAATAACCCCCGTTCTGACACTACGTGCCACCGTCAAAAGGGCCAGATGGGAGAGCAGTGCTTGGCACTCACAGGTCCAGGGGGTGAGGGTATCGCTCCTTCTGCTTTGGGGGCAACACGAAGTAGGGAACAGCATGGAGAGCCCCGGTCTTGTCACGGTAAAACTCCCGGTGCTGCTGGGCCAACTAGAAGCAGCGAAGAACAAGTTATTTAGGGTTGCATGCATCAAAGCATGACAGCAGCGGTGAATAAACTCGTGTTGCCTCCTGCTCTTCCACACTCGGAGCCCGGCTTGCAGTGGGATTTCGTGCATGGTGCAGGAGCTCCAGGAGCAGGTGAGCTCCGAGATGTCCCTGCTGTTGGCAGCCACACTGGGAAGCAGCACCCACGCTCATCTCTCTAATACCCATGCTCGTCTTGTCAATACCCATGCTCACCTTGTCAATACTCATGCTCGTCTTGTCAATACCTACACTCATCTCCTTGATCCCACAGTTTTGTGGCTACACAGGCAGTATCCATTGCATCCAGGATGCTCCTGTCTCCCCCAGGCTTCTGCCAGTGCCCGAATTCTGTCCCTGGTGCCATCCTCAAGTACATGCATGGGTTTTGGCTCCATCTGCCACTGTTGTCACCAGGTGGCCCCCCGTCCTCACCTGGTAGAAGGTCTTCAGCTCCTCCCCACGGCTGGGGCGGGAGGGGAAAGGCAGCGGGATGTGTGGGTGCTGGGGACGGCCCTGTGACCAGCACGCGGGATGGCCGGGAAAGAGCTTTGGGAGCTGGTGTTTCCGCTCGGGGATGCCTCGTTGGCAGCCTTGGAGGTGTTTCACGGCGGTGTCCCTTGAGGTGTCCCCACTGGGAAGCATGATGTCCGGGACACATCCTGGGAACCTGCAGGGGAAAGCAGGAGCTCAATCTTCTGCTTAGGTCAGGACAGAGCCAGAACGTGTCCCCTGCCCCATCCCGCTTGTGTCCATCAGCATGTGCCCACCTCCGCTACCCATTGCATCCCATGAATTGTGCATTGGAGCATCCACTTGCCACCAGCAACATCCTCGGCATCAACCCTCTCTCGTGCCCCTCAAACGTCACTAAACCCCAACGTTTCTCCGTTTCCAGTATCTTCCTAAATCCTGATGTTTCTCCACTTCTGGTATCTCCTGAGGACACCCTTGACACCCTTGTCCAGTAAGGTCCCTGTCCTTCCCGCCATGTCATTCCCTTCTTCTGGCCTTTCTTTTAAGAACTCTGATAGTTTTTCCCCAAGAGAAGGTTGCTAGTCAGGATTTCCGATTTCCTCTGTTAATCCTGATTTCTGGTCACATGGGACATGGAGGCAACCAGTGCAATGAGGAAGATGGAGGTTCAGGCTTTGCTTGAGAGTCAATTAATTGCCTGCATGTCTTAAAACAGAGAAGGGATCACGTATGTGGTGGGTTCACCCCTAGGACAATCCACCTGGATAGGAGAAAGCAACTAGGAGATAAAGCTCTCCAGTGCCTGCAACACCAGGAGCACTGATGCAAAGATGCGAGAGGGACCAACACCAGCTGCACATCCAATTCCACAGAGAAGAGGCCAAGAAGGGGCCAAAGAATGGAGGAAGAGATGAAATTTGGCATGGCTTGCCAGGACAAGAGCTTCTCCAGGTCTATGGAGCCAGCAGAGAGCTCTCGACCATGCCTGAGAAGCCCGTCTCACTGCAGGCGGTGTGAATTATTCACCACCATGTGTGATACGCATGAGTAGGTGAGAAAATCCTCCACTCCATTGAAATCAAGACAACCTCCGACCCATGTAAAATGGGCCTAGGAACGGGAGGATGTTGGGCTGTAATTTCATTAATTGAAACAGTGGAAGATGCAGCAAGGAGGGACTGGGCAGCCCTGTGGTTCCGCAAAGCCAGAGCATCTGTCCCTTGGGGATAGTGACCTCCTGGTCCCTCCATGTGCAATAGGCAGCTCTATGGTGGGGAGGTGTCCACCTCCTGCAGGGATGGAGACCAGCTCCTGGCTTCTAGACTCCAAAATCCCTTGGGTTGGGAATGCAATGCCAGAAGAGAGCCCTTCAACATAATTAGGGGCTGGAGGTAACCTCAGGGGCAAGAGCAGCTTCTGGGTGTTTTGTACCCACCAAACCGGTGTCTGCTACACCAGTGGTGGAGTCCGTTCCCCTCCAGCCCCTTGTCCCTTCTGTGCCCTGGCAAGTTCCCCTGTGTCCCCTGTGCAGGACGTGGTGTGCAGGGTGCAGGGAAATGAAGGGTGCAGGGTCCTGGCGGGGGGGATGCTCGGACTCCTTGGGCAAGGACCGTGCAGGAACCCTGGGACCAAGTGTGGGGTCCAGGCAGGGTCCTGGTCCTGAGTGCAGGGTCCATGCAGGGTCCCGGGGCAGGATGCGGGGTCCTGGGGTGGGATGTGGGGTCAGAGTGGGGTCCCAGGACTGGATACTGGGTCCATGTGGGGTCCCAGGGCAGGGTGTGGGGTCCCAGAGTGGGATGCGGGGTCAGAGTGGGGTCCCGGGGCAGGATGCGGGGTCCATGCAGGGTCCCGGAGCAGGGTGCAGGGTCCCAGGGTGGGATGCAGGATCAGAGTGGGGTCCCAGGGCTGGATGCAGGGTCCATGCGGGGTCCCGAGGCTGGATGCGGGGTCCATGCGGGGTCCCGGAGCAGGGTGCAGGGTCCCGGAGTGGGATGTGGGATCAGAGTGAGGTCCTGGGGCAGGGTGTAGGGTCCTGGGGTGGGATATAGGATCGGAGTGGGTTCCCAGGACTGGACACAGGGTCGGTCGGCCCGGGGCAGGGTGTGGGGTCCTGGGTGCCAGCCCGACCCCTACCCGGTGCCGCGGCTGCCCATGGCCCCGACCC